CTATCATCTATCTATCTATCATCTATCATCTATCTATCTATCTATCTATTAATCAATCAATCAATCAATCATCTATCTTTCTATTGTCTACCATTTATTTATTGGTGTATTTATATCTATCTTAATAAGTTTTCTGAAAACAATGCATAACTTGAAATATATAAAGAATGCAAAAAAAAACCCACCCCATCAAAGGCAACAATCCTCTCACTAACTATCATCTATCTATCATCTATCATCTATCTATCTATCTATCTATCTATTAATCAATCAATCATCTCTTTCTATTATCTACCATTTATTTATTGGTGTATTTATATCTATCTTAATAAGTTTTCTAAAAACAATGCATAACTTGAAATATATAAAGAATGCAAAAAAAAAAACCACCCCATCAAAGGCAACAATCCTCTCACTTAAAGCTCAAAGAACATCACTGAAGAGAGACTGGAAAGATTGTAAGAGCCAGAGGACCAGGATGCCTGCTGCTAGGTAGTGTCTTCTAGACATGACAAGGAAGTTGCACTCATGAAGTCTCAGCAGTATGGTTGCTTAAACAATACCTGCATAACAGGTATGCCAACACCAGTTGGCATACCATTGTGGATAGAGGAAAGTTCCCACCTCTAGATGAAGAGCTACAGGAAACCAATGGCTGCTGAATGAAGAAAAATCAGTTTTCTCTAGGAATGAGCCCCACGATAGATTATTCAATCCCAAGTGATCAGCCCTAAACACATGTCCATACATTTACTAACACTGAATGGACTCAATAAGTTGTGTGTATACACACACGTATGTATGTGTAGCAATATTAACAAAAGAAGAAAAGGTCATGAAACTGAGAGGGCGTGAGGGTACGAAAAGAAGAGGAAGTTGTAGGGGGGAAGGCTGGGTAGAAATGATGTAAATACAGTACTGATATATGGAATTCTCTCAAAATTTAATTTATCAAAGAGATAGATTATAGGAAAAGAAAGAAACAATGGGAATAAACATTTTTATGAAGAGTTTTCCAAGTGTCTCTGACTAATCACATAAATGTGTTTTATAAAACTGTGATTATTCTGCACATGATATGTGTTTCAATGTGTTAATAATATGTGTATTATTAACACATAATATATAATGTGCATCTTTTCAAATCAGTAAATATAAGTATATTAAAAGCTATAATTTTAGCTAGGCATGGTGGTACACATCTTTAACCCAGCACTTGGGAGGCAGAGGCAGGTGGATCTCTATGAGATTGAGGACAATCTGGTCTACATAGTGAGTTCTAGACCAGATGAAGCTACAGGAAGACCCTGTCTCAAAACCAAACAAATAACAAGAATAACTAATTTAAAAAATATTTTATTATTTTTATTTTATGTGTAAAGTGCAGTGCCTGTGAACGTCAGAAGAGGGCATCAGATCCCCTAGAACTGGTAACGGATGGTTACTAGTCCCCATGCTGGGAATTGAACCTGGGTTCTCTGCAAGAGCAAGACCTAGCAGTAGTGCTCTTAACCACTGAGGCATCTCTCCAGGTCCCAAAACTATAATTTTAAATTTTATTTATAATAATTAGCAAGTTCTCTAATTTTTAAAGAATAAACTCTTAAAGCTATAGTTTTAATATTCTGATTCTAATCAGGGATCTAAGTCATCTATTTTCTTGCTAATAGGAATGCACTATGTTAAATCCTATAGGGCTTCCAGGAGGTCTCTGTGGCTTACTGCATCTTAGGCAGACAGGAAGCAGGTGCCCTTGGCAGAGAGAGAAGCCGAATCCTAGACCATACAAGTCTTCTGAGAAACCCAAAGTAAAACAATAAATATTGTTTAATATGATTCTTTTCTTCCAACCTTCTGTACTAAACTCATGTTAAATTTCGTTTTCCTTCAAAGCTCCTTCGGAAAACGTAGACGGATTTGTAATGCTACAAGTGCTTCGTGTTCTTTTTTCCCTCCATACGTGTTACCCCCAGATATCTGCAGCATTGAAGTGGAAGCTCAAAATGAAGATGGTAAAAATAAATCTGATACCACATATTGGGACTTATACAGCATAAGTAAGTGTTCTACGACATCATCATATAATATTATTGAATAATTACCACCCCTTTTAAAAATAGAGGTATCTATGGGCTCAAACATAGACTTGAAATTCAAGGAATAGTAGATATATGTTGTGGACATGTAGAAGGTGTACCTTATTAAAGAAAAAAGGATGTAGAGAAAGAGGGAATTGAGGAAGGAGGGAAAGAAAAAAGGAGAGGGAGTAAAGAAAGAAAGAAGAAATTGGTTGAATAAGAAAAAGAATGAGAAACGAGATACAGAAGGCTTGTCCTCCAACAAGCTGTCATTGTTCATGAAGGAAAACTTTTAAAAAATTTTATTTATCACTTTTATTTTATGTGTATGTGTCTATTGCCTGCATGTAGGTAAGTGTACCTGTGTCGTGCAATGCTGGCGGAGGTCAGAAGAGGCTGTCAGATCCCCTGGGACTGGAGTTACGGACAGTTGTTAGCTGCCGTGTGGGTGCTGGGATTCAACCCAGGTCTTCTACAAGAACAACCAGTGTTCTTAACCGCTGAGCCATCTCTCCAGCCCCAGGAAAATTTTAAAAATTAGGCAGGGTCTCCCTGTAGCCCCAGCTGGCCTGGAACTCACTATGTAGACCAGGCTGACCTCGACATCACAGAGATCTGCCTGTCTTTGCCCCTCAAGTGCTAAGATAAAAGGCATATGCCACTATGCCCTGCCCTGTGAAAAACTCTTACTTTAAAAAAGTCTCACTGGGGCTGGAAAGATTGCTCAGCAATTAAAAGTACTGGCTACTCTTGCAGAGAACCCAGGTTCAAGTCCCAGCACCCACATGGTGATTAACAACCGTCTATGACTCTAGTTCCAGGAAATCTGACAACATCTGTCCTCTGCAGGCATTACATCACACAAGTGCACTTTCATACATGCAGGCATAACACTCATACACATAAAATTTTTTAAAAATAATAATAAAAACTTTAAAGTCTCACCAGTTGTGCTTTTTCGAATTCTTTTGTGAAAACTCATTTTTACCATGTAATTTTAAAGTAACTTGTTACTTTCTTAAAAAACTTTTGTTTATTATTTTTATTTTATGTGTATGAGTGTATTGTCTGCATAAATGTAAGGGCACCCATGTCAGGCTGTGCCCAAGGAGGTCAGAAGATGACATTGGGCTCCCCTGAAACTGTAGTTACAGATGGTTGTTACTTGCCATGTGGGTGCTGGGAATCAAACCCATGTCGTCTGCAAGAGCAGTCAGTGCTCTTAACCTCTGAGCTATCTCTACAGCCCTGTAACTTCTTTATTAAGATATAATTCATAGCATTGAAGTGTGGAGTTCAGTGATATTTATTATATCCACAAGGTTGCACAAATATCACCACTAATTCAACAATATAATTAAGTTTAATGTAATTCAAGAAACTTCGTACTTATTAATAGTGAGTCCCCAATTATTTATTTACCTTTTTCCCTAACCTCTGGCAACTTCAGATCTATTTTTATCTGATAAGTATAAATAGATATAGATTTGCCTGTTAGTAATATGCCATATAAATGGACTCACAAAACATGTGGCCTTTTTGTGTCTGGTTTCTTTTACCTGGCATAATGTTTCCAAAGTCCATCCTCTATCAGCATTTCATTCCTTTTCATAGCTGATTAATATCCCGTGGGATGGATATACCATATTCTATTTATCTATTAGCTAATGTACATTCAAGTTGTTTCTACTTTTTGGTTAATATGAATAATGCTTATTAATATGAATAATGCTTCTGTGAATGTATAAATTTTTGTGTGAAAACTTGTTCAATTCTCTTAGATCTATATCTTCTGCTAGTGTTGTGTTGTATGGTAACTGTATGTTTAACTTTTTGAAGGTCTGCCAAACTTTGTCAAAGTGGCTACACCATCTAACATTCTCACTAGCTATTTATAGAGGTCTGGTTCCTCCAGTACTTATTATCCCTCTTTTTACAGGCACCCTAGTGGGTGTGTCCTGATATCTCATTATAGTTCTGATTTGCATTTCGACAGCAATGACTAATGATGGTGAATATTCTCATGGTTTATTAGCCATTTTCATATCTCCTTTGCAGAAATTTTAATTCAAATTCTTTGACCATTTTTGTTGTGTTTTTAGTTGTATTAACATATGTGGATTATACCTAATAATGGGTTTATGGCATTTTTACACAGGTATATAATCTATTTTGATTGTGTTTACTCTTCCCAGATTATTTTAAAAACTTCTTTCTGTGTTCTATTTGAAGTAGATGATTTACAGATATTTTCGGTTTCTGTGAATTGTCTTTTTAATTTCTTGATATCCTTTTACACAACAACAAAATTAATTTGATGAAGTCAGTATATCTGGGGTTTTTTTTATGCTTTAGGTGTTATAACTAAGAAATTATCACTAACCCCATTTTATTGCTATGTTTTCTTCTAGGAGTTTTAAAAATTCCCATATTTTGATATTTGGTCCATTTTGTGTTAATTTTTTTTGTTTGATTCTGTGTTTTGAGACATATTGACCTCATACTCGTTATGTAATCAAGACTAGATTTGCACTCCTTATCCTCCTGCCTCTACCTCTCACATGTATGTACTACCTGAGTTCATTTTTTAAAGACTTTAAAAAAATTTTTTTAATTATATGTGCATGTGTTTCTTTGTGGGGGTAAATGCACATGAGTATAGATACCCATGGAGGCCAGAGGTACTGGATTCCCCCTCAAGCTAGAGTTATAAGCGGTTCTGAGATGCCAGATGTGGGTGCTCAGAACTGAACTTGGGTTCTCTGAAAGAACAGTATGTGCTCCTGCATCTCTCCAGCCCCCTGAGGTAATTTTTAAACAATGCTGTTAACTATGTTAGTCAGCTTTATGTTACTCCAGCAAACATTTAGATAATAAACTTTTAAGAAGAAAAGTTTATTTTGGCTCACAAAATACTGAAAAAAAAACGGAAACTTTTATAGGTTTCAGTCTATGCCAATTGGCCCTGTTGCTTCAAAGCTGCTTAGTTAATGGTTAGAGAACAAAATAGAGAGAGGGAAGGGGCTAGAGCCCTGTTATTGGGGTAAATTCCCAGTGGCCCCAAGACCTCCTACTAGGCCCCAGCTCTTAAAAGTTTACAACCTCTCTGGGGGCTGGAGAGATGGCTCAGCAGTTAAGAACACTGACTGTTCTTGCAGAAGACCTGGGTTTGAATCCCAACACCCACATGGCAGCTAACAACTGTCTGTAACTCCAGTCCCAGGGGATCTGACACCGTCTCCTGACCTCCGTGGGCACTGCAGGACACGGGTGCACTTATACACATGCAGGCAACACACACATACACATAAAACAAAAATAATAAATATTAAAAAACAAAGTTTACAACCTCTCAATAGCCACAGGTGAATACCAAGCTTTAATACGTGCACCTAAAGAGAAGCTGGATTTGGTAAACTAAAACATTTCCTTCGTTTTATTTATTTAATTAATTTATTTATTTATTTATTGGTCTTTTTGAGACAGGGTCTCCCTGTAGCCCCAGCTGGTTAGGAACTCACTATGTAGACCAGGCTGGCCTCGAACCCATAGAGATCCGCCTGCCTCTGCCTCCCAAGTGCTGGGATTAAAGACATGCACCACCACACCCAGCTCTGTTTTATTATTTTTAAAGAAAAATTACTTTATTTATTTATGACAAGGCTTTGCTCTGTAGCCTATTGTAGCTTTGAATTTGTTTCAATCCTCCTGCTTCAGCCTCCCAAGTGCTGGAATGACAGATGTGAGCCACCTTGCCTGACTAAAACAGATATTTTCAAGAAGAGAAATTTGGGCTGTGATGTTTGCAGTGTCCAAGGAAAGTGAGAGCCATGTTATAGTGGGCATTCTTTGTCTTAGGGGTCAAGAAAACAGGTCTGATAGATGGTTGTGCCAGGTCTTTATAAACAATTTCAGTTGTAGTTTATTCCATAACCCATGGTTTGTTGATGATTGCATCATTATTATCATATGTATTCTTATATGATATGACTTCAAGTAAAAGCCTGATTTGCATAGAGCTCACAGGAGCATCCTCTTTACACAAGGCACACTCTTCTGAGAGGTATGGGGCTGGAGAGGATGGTGTTCTCTTTTCACTGCCTTGCTAATGCCATCTACATATAGCAGACAATAACATAAGTACTGCCATTTGCTCTCTAGGTTTACTGTGCTGTCAACTTTGGGTAGTTGTTAGCATCGTCTCATCTTTCCATACATATGAGAATTGTGTGACTTTTATTTTCAGTGAAAACTGAACCACCTGAAATTCTAAGTGTGAAACGAATTTTGGGCATGGCACAAATGGTCCAAATACGATGGAGAACGCATGAAGTGTTTGATCCTATTCCTTATTTAAGATACACGCTTCGGTTCAGGACAGTCAACAGTACCCACTGGGTAAGTTAAGCTGTTATATTTATACTAATGAACCTGAGGAAAGTATTCATTGACAACTAATGGTTCATTTGGAATTGTCTTTTCACTTTTTATACGGACAACAGAAAGGAAATAATGGTGACTACCATTTTTCCCAGTTTCCTACTTCTAACTTTTAGCTTGGCAGCACATTCTACTATAAGCATTTTATATTTGGAGCATAGCAACATACTGAAAAATTAAAAATTTGCTTTTGCATAATACCCTGGTTTGTGGCTAGCTATGTTGGCTGCAAGAAATTCTATGGTTTGGCCATTTTCTTTTTTACTTTTCTTCTCTTTTATAAAATTGAGAATAACATATTTTTAAAGATGGATACACTGTACATTGTATTTAATAAATTGTTATTATTAAGTCAGCATTCATGTAAAAATCCACTAAAGTCAAGAACAGTCTATTTCCAGCATGCCAGAACCGTCTCCTTATCCTTTTTTTGAGAGCTATTTGCCCTTAAAGTTAACTTCTATTTTCACGGTAGTCACCTCTCTGCTTTTAATATGGTTTTATCATTTATGCTTGAATTCCTGAAAAAGATTATTTAAGAAACTATGTTCTGATTGCTTGATTCCTCCAAAATGGAGTGCCCAGTAGAAATAGAAGAGGAACATACAAACAGAACCTGTGCATTTTGTCTGCCTTCCTGCCTGCTTTCTTACCTCTTGCCTGCCCTCCCACCCTTCATCCTTCCCTTCCTTCAGCTTTTTGAAAAATTTATTATTTTTATTTTATGTGTATGAGTGTATTGTCTGCATGTATGTGAGTGTACCCATGTCATGCAATGCCACGGAGGTCAGACGAGAGCTTTGGATTCCCCTGGAATTGAAGTTAAGGACAGTTTGTAGCTGACATGTGGGTGCTGGGAATCGAACCTGGGTCCTCTGCAAGAGCAGTCAGTGCTCTTAACTGCTGCGCCATCTCTCCAGCCCCTCTTTCAGCTTTTTGAGACAGTGTCTCACTATGTAGCCCAAACTGAACTTACAATGACCCTCCTGCCTCAGCCTCCTGGGTGCTGTGATTATAGCCATTCACTGCCATGCTCAGCCATTTTATATTTCTTGATGCTTGGCTTTGTTCTCTCAATACTGAATTTTTTAGATACAGTCATGTTGCATAATGCCATACATTTCCATTGTATGAACACAAAGGAATCATAGCTCCAATCTGCATTTGCCTGATTTTTAGTGAAATTACACACCTTTTCATGGTTTATTGGCCACTTAGAGTCTTCTCTAGAGTGCTGATTAAGCCTCTGCACATTTTGCTCCTGTGTCATTTTCTAATGGTATGAATTTTCAGTTGACTTGTAGTATTCTTCATATATTCTACTCACATCTTTTATTTATGTGATTCCAAGTACCTTCCACTCTAGCGGATGACTTTTAACTCTAGTAATGATAAATTCTGATGAACAGAACTTAATTCAAAACTGCCAGGTTTAGCTTTTTTTTTGTTTTGTTTTTGTTTGGTTTTTTTAAGACAGGGTCTTCCTGTAGCCCTAGCTGGCCTGGGACTTGCTATGTAGACCAGACTGGCCTTGACCTTACAGAGATCTGCCTACCTCTGCCTCTAGAGTACTGGGAGTAAATGTATGGACTGCCATGCCTGGCAGTACTGTTAGATTTTATCAACCTTTTAATTTATGCTTAATGCTATTTGTGTCTTAAGAAATCTTTTTCTTTCCTAAGAGTCCAGAATATATTTTTCCATTTCCTTCAACACAGGCAGGAATGACATCATTCTTGTGTGTTGGCCATCCCTTTGCAGCAGTAAGTCAATAAAATCTTAAAGATATTTTCCCTCATAAGGCTTGCTAGTAAAATACATTTTCACTATCTTAAAATTTGCTGCGTTTTAACCAAAGTTCAATGTTTTATTTATTACCATTGAATTTCTTCATGTTGGTCTTTTTCATCATTTCAGCCTATTTAGAATCTTTATTCTGCTTTCTAATTTTTAATACCTTCAGATTGATAACTTACTTCTATAACTCTGGTCATTCATAAGAACAGTGGCTGTACTAGAGCTCTGTGGTAAGCCAGTAGACCATCATGGACACTAGTTTCTCTTTTGGGGGTATGATACCTTTTCAGGCTTCTGTAAGTATACCTAATCACCAAAACAATCATTCAGACTATTTTTTTTTTTGTTTTTGGTCTTTTTGAGACAGGGTCTCCCTGTAGCCCAGCTGTCCTGGAACTCCCTATATAGACCAGGCTGGCCTTGAACTCACAGAGATCCACCTGCCTCTGCCTCCCAAGTGCTGGGATTAAAGGCGTGTGCCACCATGCCCAGCTTCAGACTACTTTTAACATCTTGTCAAGGAGGCTGTCATGGGACCTTTTCCTTTGTGGAAACCCAAGACACTATGCATGTCCTATCCTCATCTAAGACTCTTTCAAAAAGGGACGTTGGTTAAGTATTATTTGTCCTGTGTTCAAAGAGATGATGTTGGCCACTCCTTCCAGTTTCCTTTCTAAGCCAGTTGTAGGCCCGCTCTCCTAGAACCCATGTAGATAGGCTTGTCATTTTGTGGTTCTAGAGATTCTCTAAGCTGAACAGTCCCCCAGCACAGCACAAGTTCATACATGTCATAGTCAAGTGAACATAAGACTTCTGAGATGAGTCATTGACTAGCAGCCCTGATTATTCTATTTGCTGGGACCTTCTGGTATAGGATTCAATGAGAAAAGCAAACTAGGCCCTGTGTCTGTTTGGAAAATGACTAAGCCATATATAACAATGAGAGAACAAATATAAACTATTTCCACCCCCTCTCTCCCTTGACAAGCTCACCTACTTCTGTGGTTATCTTTGCATCCTCCTTTCCTGTCCCTGAGGCAAGATGGCTTCTTTCTGCTCTTCTGGAGGATGTGAGGAGGAAGGTGGAGCGTGCAGTCATTGCCCTCTTTCTTTTCTCAGCTTTCAAACACAAGCAAGTCTCCTCGGTTCCTGACCAACGTAGCCTGAGACAGCCATTCCAACCGCTTGTCAATGGTTCCCATGGGAAAAGCACACATCCTTAGGCCCTCCGTGATCTAGCCCCTCCACCCTTGTGTTTCACCTTGCCTTGCTCCTCTAGTGATTCACAATGGCTTCTTTTCCTTGTGTCATGTTGACTCAGAATTTTGTCCCTCTGCTCAGATCACCCTCAGTTCTTTCTTCCCCTGCTTCTGCTGCGTTCTGCTCAGGTTTCAGAACTCAGGTCTGACATAATTCCTTGAGAGCCTGAGTGAGGTACCCTCCTCTGCAAGTTTCTGTCATTTCACCCAACACTCAACTCATTTAAACCACTTGATCCCCAATTAGATGTTCAAGTGCAAGGACATTGGTTTTCATCTCGCCTACCACATGCCTGTGCACAGTAATTGTTAGTCTGTACTAATCCATGTAAAAACAAATCCTAAAACTCTGGCAACATTTACAAAATAACAAGACCCATATTTGTATGATGTTATATGGTCTGCAAAGTACTGTTTTACACTGAGCATTCTTTAGTCATTGCAGGTACTCTACAGATGATGCATTGTTAGCCCCACTAGCCCACTTTCATAGATTAGGAAATCTATGAAAGGAATCTACATGTGGAGAGCTTAAATCACAAGGTATATAGGTAGCAAATATAAGCCCAGGTTTTCTGATTCCAGGTCTGACATTTGTGTGATACTTCAGCAGCCTCTAAACTTTCCTGTGGTCCTGATCTGAAAAGTACCACCCCACCCCCACCCCCACCCCTCACCCCCGCAGGTGGTGAAACCACGTGACCATCCCAGAGGTTCATCCAACCTGCCCATGGTTGGAGCCCCAGACTTATCAACTCCCAGAACGGAGATCTACCGACTGTTTTAAGAATTGATTTTGGCTTTGCCCTAAAACTTCTGACTCATTGTTAAAGACAAACACTTAGGGACTGAGATAGGGTTTGGCAGACAACATAGATTGTTTGAAACAAACTTAATGGAGCTAATTAGTGTTCTGGCAGGATTTCAGTGCCCATATTGAGGTGGGAAAATCTTACATCTAAGCCTATGTATGAAGGTTCAGTGGATCCTGGGCCTTGTTGAGTGCTTGGCGGCACCTAGGCTAGACAGAAAGCCAAGGCTCCAAAAAGTTATGAGTACTTTGATTGAGAAACTGAGCAGCTTGTTTTGGTTCCTCTGATAGATCTGGGATGTAAACAACAGGCTCACATTAGGCAGAACTTTCTGAACATGAGTGTGATAACAACTGCCAAGCAGACCAGGTGTGTGTTGAAGGTAGGAGCAAATCAAGAGGAAAGATTAGGAAGAAATTATATATAAACATAAAATAGAGTTGTCTTCTGTACAATTATTGTATGGGTTGAATTACATATTGAAGGCATCATGTGACTGGGCTTCTCTCAGTCTTGTTCCAACTGGATCTCATAAGTAATGATGGATTGTGCCAAGTTTTGCTCCCCATTACCCTAGGCTGCTACCTTTGCATCTCCCAGGCTTGTAGAGAAGAGATACTCAGGGTACCTGGGACTTGGCAGCAAAGTTGTCACGGCCTCTGGATCCTACCTCCTTGCTTCATCACCATCTCATTAGCCCTGGTGTTCAGAAGTGTCCTGGGATGTTCACCTTTTTGTCACAGACACTTGTTACTTTTGCTCAGTTTCCTGTAGGCCCAGTGCAGGACCTGTAATTATGTATTGTTTTCACAGTTGCTATATATCCATAAGAAATATCAGGACTTTCTTCTCCTGTAGAGCACCATGGGACTATGCAGTGTGTATACTGACAGAAGGGACATTCTCCTAATGCAATTTATTAATCAACACATTATATGTTTTATAAACCAATAGCCAACTAATTTTATTATAACAGTTGTGACTGTAATCAGAAATGATTATATTTTTAGTCTCTTCTGTAGGACCACACTCAGAAAGACTTTTGGAGTGTCTATAAGGCAACATCCTTATTTAACCCAGATTTGAAGAGAGTGTTAGAGTGGATTTATACATCTAGACTATCAAGACTTTTATCAGCCTGTATGGCCACCAAAAGAGCAACAGTTTGAAGAGGAAGATTTGGTTAAAGGGAAAAAAAACCCCTAAGAATAAAGAAATCTGTGTTCTGGTTCCAGTTCTGCTGGACAACTGAGGTTGTCCATGGTCATTTAACTATAAAATGAGAATTGACTTTGACGTCACTAAGGTCTTGGTTCCCCTCCCCAAGTTCTATGAAGCTGTGTCTCTGGATGTCAGAGTCACCTCTGAGTTTAAGCTGAAGCCCATGTGGCCCGAGATCATTGGACTCTTGCCTTACATTTTCCAGGGCACTGAATCTCTGTCCCACAAACTTCCAGATTGGAAATGGGGAGCAAGGTGATGGTTGGGTGAGTGATCCACACCTATGTAGGTATAAATTGTCCTAGCAAGAGAGCACTGAGGCTGAAGAGGGAAAACAGAAAGAGAGTATGTACTGTTTGCGTTTAGGCTCATACTTCTTTCCGTCTTGTAGATGGAAGTCGGTTTCGGGAGTTATGACCACATCTACAACCTCACAGGGCTACAGGCTTTCATGGAATATGCTGTAGTTTTACGATATAGGACCAACGAGTCAAGCATTTGGAGCAATTGGAGCAAAGAAAAAATGGGAATGACCGAGGAAGAAGGCAAGCTGTCCCCTGCAATTCCTCATCTGCTTCCTCTGGTGTAGGGCTGCTTGGGTTAAGCCTTGGTGGGTTTTGACAAGGCCAAGTTTAGGATTCATGGAACCCTGGGAACCTGGAGCCTGGAGTGTCTGCATGGTCCCTCTCCTCAGGCACTTAAGGTGCTCACTGAGTCCCTAGGAGTGGGTTGTATTTCTCAGATGGTTTAGTTACCATGGTAGCTTTGTGCTACAAAGATAAAGAATCTCATCTCTAACATACTTCACAGGAGGCAGTTTGAATGAAAATATCCCACATAGGCTCTAAGTATTTGGACATTTTGTCCCCAGATGGTAGTGCTGTTTTGGGAGGTCTTAGAAGGTGTGGCTGTCCTGGAGGAAGCATGTCACTGGAGGTGGGCTTAGAGAGTGCTTAAGTCTTCCTGGATCTCCACCTGCTCTCTTGTTTCCTGTGCCTACTGGAAGATATAGAGCTTAGCTTCTGCTCCTCCTCTAGCCACCTCTGCCACCATGCCTCCCTGCTGTGATGGACTGTAACTCCCCTGGAACCGTAAGCTCAAATAAACTCTTTTTTCTATAAATTGCTTTGGCCAGTGTTTCTATCACAGCAACAGAAAAGTGACTAACACAGTAATATATCCTATGATAAGTTGAAGGTATATGTTACGAACCTTGAAATGACTACCAAATATGTGAAGTTAGAGCTAATAAAAGGGGGAAAAAGAAAAAAGAAAAGAAAAAAAAAAAGAGGCCACATCCTTAATGACAGCAAGAGAAGGAAAGAGTCGGTGTAAAGTCCTATAATGGTATCTGGAGTCAACTTCTGTCAAGTCAAATTTATTCTTCCTGTTTCTGCTTGAGTTTCCATGAGACCAACTAGGTCTTATCAAATATTTGATATATTCAGCCTTTTGGTCAGATCCTAGAGCCCACCTGATGCCTTCTAAATTTTGAATTCTCATTGGAAATGTTCAGGTTTAATCTGTACTTCCCCTTGGATGTCGCTTTGTGCAACAGTTGGCTACGCAGGCCCAGAGTATCCTTCTCACCTGATACTCAATTTTTATATACCATCCTCTTGTAATGTGTGAAAAAGTCATCGAAAATCTAAAATCATTTTAGGCTAAATGTTAGAACAGTGTCTAACACCATATAATGTTTATATAAATTTTAATGAGATAAAAATGTGAGTCTAACATAATTTTTTCATTGCAAATACACATTCAGTGAGCTGGGCATGATGGTACACACCTTTAATCTCAGCACTTGGGAGGCAGAGGCAGGTGGATATTTGTGAGATTGAGGCAGACTGCTTTACACAGTGAGTTTCAGTTCAACTGGGGCTACAGAGAGACCCTGTCCCCAAAAAACCAAAACAAAACAAGCATACATTCTGTACACACTGACATTATACAGACATCATATCTAAATGCCCAAACAATGTGAATAATCTACAGATACCAAGCAGTACATAAAGTGCACAGTAAGAAAATGGCCAAAGAGGTTTTGCCTCTTATGCTGAGGACAGGGGAGCCCTCTGTTATGTATAGATTCCAGTCTTGGGAGAACTGAGTCTCTACAACAAACCTCCCACCTTTCCTGTGGCCCAACTGTAGTCCTCACTCCACACGTGATCCTGGGTATCCAGGCCTTGCCATTGGACCCCTCCCACTTCCAAGCACCAAGAGATTTTCCATCATTTTTCTATTACTCTTCTACAGCCCCAGTGTACCTTCACCTGTGCCCCAGTTGAACTTCTAAAGATAAAAATCACAGTCTGGGAAGTTTAAAAAAAAGAAAAAAAATACTATAATAACTAAACTGATGTAATCTTCAAACTAAATATATGTAATTATATCATGGAATATAAATTCAAAATTCTATATGTCTACTATAATTTTTTAAATATTGTTCACTTTCAAAACTGTACTGTGAAGTTTGTCACTGTTTTTATAGTGTGTTTGCCATTCATTCCCTTTCCAAATTCTCCAAATTATATAAAATGTTTCAGTGTAATCACATTTCTTCCCAAAGAAAGCAATGCTAATAAAATATTTTTTTAATGGTTATAAAGTATTTGGACAGTCAGTGCTGCCTGTGTCCGAGCTGAGCCCTTCTGTTACAACATCAGAATGAACCTCACGCAGTATCCTTGTACAAAGTGTCCTCTTCCTTTGGTGATTAAATAATGCCTTGAGTATAATTGTGGTGTCCAGATTGTGGCTGTCACTCTTCTTTTCTGGTGCCATTATGGATCAGAGTCTCAAGCCTAGCTAGCTCTGCCTTCATGATAGTGTCCCCAACTTGTTTTGCTGTCATTGTTAAAATGTATTATTTCATCTGATTTTTAGTACAGCTAGGTCAGTTAATATTAATTAGCAAAGACATTAGAGACTGGTGCATTTGCTGACTAAAACCAAATCAACACTTACTTACCAGTCACCCCTAGAGAACTTTTTCTTGCTTTTCTTTGTTCTCTCTCTCTCTCTCTCTCTCTCTCTCTCTCTCTCTCTCTCTTTGGTTCTCATAGGAAATGGATGAATGTATGACCTTAAGCCCCTGAAATTCCTATGTTCTTATTTTCCATTTCAGAAATCAGAAATCACTTGTTCCCTATTTCATAATGTAATGCTAGTTGTTTAATTTATATTACCTTCAA